CGTCCTCTCTCCTCTGTCTCTCTCTCTCTCTCCCTTTCCTCTCCATCTCTCTCCCTCTCCGTCTCCTTTCTCCGTCTCTCCCTCCATCTCCCCCCTCTCCTGTCTTCTCCCCCATTCATTTTCTTTTCTCCTATTCATCTATTTATATGTTCATCAATCTTGTTTGTGTGTGTGTGTGTGTGTGTGTGTGAGCGTGACGAGGGAGCGAGAGCGAGAGGCTTGAGTAGGAGAAAAGGTATTTTTACAGTTACCATGATGGTAAGTTTGACCTTCGTAATCGGGATGTTGTTTACCCCTCGAGGTAGCCGCTGAACCTCCCCTCCCCTTCACCCCCCCCGTCCCTTCCGCCCCTCTCTCCGCGTCCACCTCGCCCTCTCCTCGCTACCTTGCTTGCCCTCGAGCTCCACAAGGTGCTTCTGGAAGGTTCATTCGGGCGCAAGGTCGAGCTCTCTTCGTGGTCGTTGAATGCTCCCTAATACCGGGTTTGGGAATGGAGGAGAATATTTCACAGTAACGAATGTCAAAACTGGAGATTTTATGGCGTAATTTGTTATCCTTGTGGTGAAAGGATGATGGGAATTGATTTTCTAGATAACAAAGCGAGTGGTTAAGGTTTTAAGTGTCCAGCACTCAAGCCATGATGTTATATTGGGTTACTGTGCTGTTTTTTCTTCGTTTTTTTTTTGCCTTACTTTTTCGTTTGGTTCATTCTAAACGGATCTATAAATACCCCTCTGATGCTGGGACTAACTTTTTAAATGCATGTTCTACTGGGAAGAATAACGTAGTGCAGGGAAGAGTCCGTAGAGTTGTGGACACTTTTCAAGAGGCAGAAAGTTTGCATATCAATTGATACCATCCTCAGTAGAAGAATGTTACCTTACAGCGTTTGCAAGGATGTAAGAAAAGCGTAGTCATTTTTAGTGAGCTTGACTGGGAAGATTGAAGAAACAAAGGTAATGGTAATGTCTTTACTTTACGATAATAAGGACCAAAGGGCTCAAGTAAAAAAAAAAAGTGTGAAGATCGGAGTGTTGCGCAATGATTAAGACGATCGAGGTTATCCCAGAGCGAGGTTTCGGCAGCAGCACCTGTCAGCACATCACAGGCCTCGGTGGCCGCGCGAAGTGTTTACAACCGCTACCAACATACGTCACAGGCGAGAGGGAACGGGGGAGGGAGGGAGGGAGGGAGGGAGGGCGGAGGGAGGAGTTGGAGGGAGAGGAGGGAGGGAGGGAGCGATGGATGGGGAGGAGATGTAGGGATGAAAGTAGAGGGTGATAGGAAGGGAGTGGAATGTAGGGATAAAGGGAGAGAGCAAGAGGAAGGGAGATAAATGTAGAGATGAAGGCAGAAGGTGAGAGGAAGGGAGAGAGATAGAAGGATGAAAGGAGGGGGCGAGAGGAAGGGAGAGGGCGAGAAGAAGGGGGGAGAAGATGGAGGAATGAAGGGAGAGAGGGCGAGAAGAAGGGAGAGAGATGGAGGAATGAAGGGAGAGGGCGAGAGGAAGGGAGAGAGATGGTGGGGTGAAGGGAAAGGGCGAGAGGAAGAGAGAGAGATGGAGAGATGAAGGCAGAGAGCGATAGGAAGGGAGGGAAAAGGATGAAGGAATGAAGGTAAAGGACGAGAGGAAAGGAGAGGTCGATAGGAAGGGAAAGAGATAGAAGGATGAAAGGAAGGGGCGAGAGGAATAGAGAAAAAAGGAGAACGGAGGGATGGAGAGAGAGGGCGATAGGAAGGGAGAAATGTGGAGAAATAAAGGGGGTCTGAGGAAGCGGAAAGGAATGGAAGGTAAAATGGGGTGATACGAAAATGGAAAGGGGAAAGGAATGTCACTCGAGGGGAGAAATATGATTAAGTGGAAGGAGTCGGCACAGAGGCAAAGACGAGAATAGAAGGAGGGAGGATGAAAGGAATGGGAAATATGAGAACAGGAGGGAATAGCGAATGGAAGGAGAATGGGGAAGATGAGTCACGAGGGAAAGTGGGAACCGGAGGAAAAGTGCGTATGAGGGAGAGAAATGGAGGAAGTGGGAAATGGCAGTGGTACGCCGAAGAGGATATTTGATTTAATGTTATTTTTATTATTTTCTTTCTTCCCCCTTTGTCAGATGCTCTTTCGTGACCTTTATCTTTATAGGAAGATTACTCTAAAGAGGCATTGTCGCCTCTGTTCGTTTCACTCGTCTCCTCGCAGTCCATTTTCTCATTCTTGACGCCTTTCCCTCCTAGTTGTTCAGTTCTTGCGTTCGCCTGCTGTCATTTATCTTCCCGTTAACTTTGCTGTCCATCTCTCCTTTTTTTACGTTTATCTTCTCCACTTCTCTTTCTATCCCCTTTTCTTCCTTTGTTACATCCTCTTTATTTCCCCCCCTTTCCCCCCTTCCCTTCCCCCTCCTTCTTCCCCCTTCCCAACTTCCATCACCCTCCCCTCTTCCCCTCTTCCCCCCTTCCATCTCCCCCTCCCCTACCCCCCCCCCCCTTCCCTTCCCCCGACCTGTCTTTCTTTCTCGCTTCTACTCTTTACCCTTTCTCCGTTTCTTTCTCGTTTCCCGTCCTTCCATCCTCCTCCCCTCCCCGCCAATCCTTACTCTTCTCTCCCCCTCCCTTCGCATCTCCGCTCGTCTCTCAACTCCCTTTCCCTATCCCTTCCCTTCCATCTTTTCTCTCCCATCCCCTACCCCCCCCAGTACCCCCCCGAACACCCTTCCATCTGTGCACGTCTATTAGCGGCTTCCCCTCGAACTATTTAAGCGTAGTTTTACCAGCTTTTGCCTGCATCAACAAAAGAGGTAGTTTTTTTTTTCTTTTCTTTTTTTTTCTTTCGCTTTATTTTCTTTTTGGGGGGGAAGGTGGGTGGGGGGATGGGGAGGGGAGAGGCTCTGCGGACAGTGGAGGTGGGTGAGGGTGGCATGAACTGGAGTAGTTAGTGTGATGATGATAATTTATTAATATTGTTATTATTATTTTTTTTATTAGTGTTATCATCATCGTCATTTTTATTATACTTATTGTTATGAATGTTCCGGTCGTCATTATTATGATGATGATGATTATTATTATTGTTATTATTATTATGATTATTGTGTGTGTATGATATTTGGAAATTTGGAAATTGAATCTCATTTTGTGAACGCGTTGATGATGGTAGTATTGATAAAGAAAATGTTATGATGAAAATTATTTGTTATGACACTGATGGCGACGATTCATAATCTGTGTCACGCTTGCCGTATCACGGACCCACTCACCGGTACCTTCGAAACCCCCTTCTTCTCCCTCCCTGCCCTCCTCTCCCTCCTTCCCCTCCTCTCCCTCCTCTCCTTCCTTCCCTCCTCTCCTCTCCCTCCCTCTCACTCCCTCTCCTCTCCTCTCCTCCTCCCTCCTCTCCTCTCCTCTCCTCTCCTCTCCTCTCCTCTCCTTCTCTCCTCTCCTCCCTCCCTCCCTCCCCCTCCTCCTCCCTCCCTCCCTCTGCTTCCTTCTCCCCCTCTCCCTCCCTCCTTCCTTCTTCTCCCCCTCTCCTACTCGCTCTCTTCCTGTCCGCTTTCTCTCCCCCTCTCCTACTCGCTCTCTTCCTTCCGCTTTCTCTCCCCCCCCCTTTCCCCTTCACGTCTTCCCATCTCCTCACCCCCCTCTCCTTCCCGTCCCCTTCTCTCCTCGCCGTCCCCTCCTCTCCCTCCTTTGTCCCCCTCTCTCCCACCCCGTTCCCCTCTCTCCCTCCCCTCTCCCTTCCCGTCCCCTCTCTCCCTCCCTGTCCCCCTCTCTCCTCCCCGTCCCCCTCTCTCCCCCCCCGTCCCCCTCTCTTCCCTCCCCGTTCTCCTCTCCCTCCCGTCCCCCTCTCTCCCTCCCCGTCCCCCTCTCTCGCCTCCCTCCCCACTCCCTTCCCTACGATCCCCCTCGATATGGCACGGGCGTTCATCATCCTCTCGGTGCATTGGCCGCGAGGAGACCGTCATGGGAGATCCAGCGTCCCCGTGACTCGTTAGAGTAAACACGATTCAACATGTTTTTTGGGGGAGTTGGGGTGCGTGTGAATTCTCTTGGACGATTTTCTTCTTCCTTGTATTTTTTTTTCTTGCACCTTCAGGTACACACATTCATCTTTCTCTTTATTTTCTGCTTTTGCTGCTGTTGCTGCTCTCTCTCTCTCTCTCCCCTCCCTCCTCCCTCCCTCCTCCCTCCCTCTCTCCCTCTCCTCTCCCTTTTCTCCCTCCTCCTCTCTCTCCCTCTCCTTTTTCCTCCTCTCCTCCCCCCCCTCTCTCCCCTCCTCCTCCCCTCTCTCCCCTCCTCCTCCCCTCTCTCCCTCTCTCCCCTCGATTCCTCCCTCCCCAAACCACGCCCACTCCCTCCCTCCCTCTTCCCTCTTCCCAACACTACGGACCGGGATATTTCCTGGCACTAGTATTAAGCGGTGCGGGATTTTCTTCCACGAAAAGAGGGGATATACCGGGAAAGTTTGTATATGGTTTAGACTCATTGGGAAAAATTATCAACTCGAGTTTCCCAGTAGTCATTTTTTCTTTCTTTTTCTTTTTTTTTTTTTTTTCTTACTTTCACCCTTTTTTTACGAGTGTGTTGGATGCGGATGGCAGGTTTTAAGAGGAGCGTTTTGACTCGCTGTTTGGAGTTGCTCGGGTGATTGACTTGGGATTGGTTTGTAAACATTTATCGTACGTATCGTGTCGTGCGGTTTGCTTTTTTCCCCTTGGTGTGTGGTTGGGTTCATTGAGATGGTTGTATACGCACGTGGCAATCAGAGAGAGGGAGGGAGGGGGAATGATGGAGAGGGGGAATATGGGGATAGAGAGAGGGAGGGAGGGATAGAGGAGGCGGAAGGGAGGAGAGAGGGAAGGGGAATAAGGCAGAGATTCAGAAAAAAAACGGAAGCATATTTTTTGATGTTGATTATGCAGTGTGCAATTCAGTCATAACTTTACGTCTTCCTCTTCTAATTCCTGGTGAAGCACCCCAATTAAACCGCTTTCTCCTTTTCTTTCCAGGTAAGTGTAGGCCTATGCCGCCCTGATGAAGTAACGTGTCGCTGCACCTTTCCCCTGGTAAGGACACTTCCACCCGACTCACACCCCAAGCCACGCGGGAGACACGTGCGCTGACCCTACCTTCCCTGGCGGGTCCGAGCTGCTTTTGGCTTTCCATGTGACGGCTCCATTAGGCCTCAGGCTCTATTTTGGGGGCGCAGGCACGATTAGTTGGTGGTGGTGTTTATTTTTTATTATTTTATTTGCTTTATGGATAGTACGTCTGGTGTTTTGTTTCTGGTGGTGGAGGTGGTGTCTAATTTTTATTTTGTTCATTGTGTGGGTAGTACGTCTAATATTTTGTTCATTGTACTTTGGTATGTATATATATCAATAGATATCTCTATCTCTGTAGGAGAAAAAAATGTGTGTATTTATTTATATTTATATGATTATGTAGATATATATCAATGCGTGTGTGTGTGTGCGTGCGTGTGCGTGCGTGTGCTTGTTTGTGTGTTGGTTCGTCATGAAAACATTTTGCCTTTATTAATTAATGGATTTTTAACATTTCTATCGTCTTAACTAATCACCCCGGCTATTTATGTACGCCTTTTAAGTGAGCGCCAGTCATCTGTTTCACGCCGGGGGATGCCGGAATGCCTTTCCGATTGACTCTTGACAGGTGGACAAGGGTATAGTTCATAGCACCAGCTGACGTCACGCCCTCAGCTGGTCGAGTGTTTGAATCTATCGGTTTTAGAGAGTGTGACGTGGGTTGTCCGTCAGCTACGAGTATCTAGAGATAGGCGATAGGTCTTCAGTCGAAGGGAGAGCCGAGTGGAGGGAGGGACAGGGAGGATAGGAGGGAATCCCCCTCCCCCACACATACACACGCGCCAGGAAGAAAGGAAGCGAATTTTCATAAGATAAAAAGAATATTATGATGATAGCATAGTTGCCAGCCGTTGCAGGGTAATTGCGAGGGAGGGGAGCAGGGGAAGACAGGATTACCCGCAGCGGGTATGATAGCAGGCCATAGGCCCCAGTCGAGAACGTACAATAACCTAGCTATCACGGACGGCGCGTCGTTTGGTAGCCGGGCAATCTGATGGTTATCTGATTGAACTCTTCCCAAACGTGTGTTTATCCCCTTTTGCGGTCTCCGGAGATTCGCTTTGATGACAGCCATTGGGTCGCTTTTATCACTCGGCAGCGCCCCTTTTGCGATGTTATTGTCCGTTATTGGGAGCTTTGTCCTGCCAGTGTGGATATGTTGTTTTTCGAGTTCAGATTGTTTAGTAATTGAGCGTGTGGTTGGCGTGGTCATTGATAAACTTGTTTTCGGTAGTACATGCAGGTGGCATACTATTCGTGGGCGAGTCGAAAGCGCGGTGTAACGACCTCTCTTTTCACAGTCATGGCGGGGCGTCTTGAAAGCGGACTTAGCATACCAGAAGTCAAATAACACTTGCATTGTTTTCGCGCGCTTGATGGAGAACAAAAGCGTGGCGAGGGGCGTGCTTGGGCTCGCGTTGTGGCAGGTGCCTGACAGGTGTTCTCGTCGCCGTGCCAGCGAGTTTTGCAACGGAGCGAGGGTACGCGGGTGAGCTTATGGTTGCTAGTACCAAGAGGAGGTAGAGCTGGGTGAGGTGGTGCTAGGTGACCTGACCACCTTTGCGGCAGGGCGTGGGGCGAGGGAAGTGGGCGGCCACCTCGGGCGCCGGGGGCTAAAGCTGGGTGTAAAAAAGAGAACGACCGCGCCTCCCCGGATCTCATCCCCTCTCTCCCCTCATCTCCCCTCCCCTCTCTCCCCCTCTCTCCCCCTCCCCCTCTCCCCCTAACTCTCCCCCCTCCCCTCTCTCACGCCCTCACTCTCCCCCCTCCTCCCCCTCTCTCCCCCCTCCCTCTCTCCTCTCCCCTCCCCTCTCTCTCTTCTCCTCTCCCTCTCGCCCCCTCATCTCCCTCCCTCCCTCTCTCTCTCTCCCCTCTCCCCTCTCTCTCTCTCCCCCTCCCTCTCTCTCTCTCTCTCTTCTCCCCCCTCCTCTCCTCTCTCCCCCCTCCCCTCTCTCCCCTCCCTCTCCCCCTCCCCTCTCTCTCTCTCTCTCTCTCCCCTCTCTCTCGTCTCTCTCTCTCTCTCTCTCTCTCTCTCTCTCTCTCTCTTCTCTCTTCTCTCTCTCTCTCTCTCTCTCTCTCTCTCTCTCTCTCTCTCTCTCCCTCCTCTCCCTCTCTCTCCTCTCTCCCTCTCTCCCTCTCTCTCCCTCTCTCCTCCCTCTCCTCTCTCTCTCTCTCTCTCTCTCTCTCTCTCTCTCTCTCTCTCTCTCTCTCTCTCTCTCTCTCTCTCTCTCTCTCTCTCTCTTCTCTCTCTCTCTCTCCTCCCTCTCCCTCTCCTCTCCCTCCTTCTCCTCCTCTTTCTTTCTTATGCTCCCTCCATCCCTCCTCTCGCTCTCCTTCCTCCCCTATCCCTTTGCCTCACTCTATTTTTTTTTATCTCCCATCCCCTCCCTCTTCTCCTTTTGCCCTATTTTCTCTCCCATCCCTCCTTTGCCATCTTTCTTCACGTAGTGTCGAAATGCGTTTGTCGATGGCTGCCGAAGCAGGAATTAGTCCTCTCGTCTGTACAGGTGAGTTGACAGGTGGGGTGTAGCGAGGGGGGGGTTAGGTAAACGGAGGTTCTGTCAGCCAGTTTCTCAACTCGCCATTCGAACGTATCTCTCGTCGTGTATTTTAGGAGGCACTGGAAATGGTGCCAGAGATTAGGATTAGGTCGTTACGCGGCGCTGATAACACGAGTGGCCAGGACGCATGCTTATTTTTGCGCGTGTGCGCGTGCGTGCGTGCGTGCGTGCCCGCGGTTTGCGTGTGTACGTGGTGTACGTATGTATGTATGTATGTGTGTGTGTGTGCACGTGTACATGTACGTGTGTGTGTGTGTGGTGTGTGTTGTGTGTGTGTGTGTGTGTGTGTGTGTGTGTGTGTGTGTGTGCGCGTGCTGTGTGTGCGCGTGCGTGTGTGTGTGCGTGTGTGTGTGTGTGTGTGTGTGTGTGTGTGTGTGTGTGTGTGTGTGTGTGTGTGTGTGTGTGTGTGTGTGCCGCGCGCGCGCTCTTGTGTCCGTGCATATGTGTTGTATGTGCGGAATATGTAATTTATATTACAGTATCTTTTCGATTATTATTATTATTTTTTACTGGATGAACGCCAGTCCCCATTTCATACAGCCTAATCTTATTACAACACCCCTTTTATGTATTTTTTCCTTTCCAAATTCTTCAGACAGGCTTTACCTAATTGGTTAAAAGGTTTCTTATCATTATCTCCTTCGGGAATTCATGAGAGACTCGCAGACGCTTTCTTAGAATTAGTTATCAGGGATGGGGAATTATGCTTTCGAAGGAGGCATCGAGAGAAGAGAGGAGAGGAGGGGCGAAGGAGAGGGAGAAGAACTGTGAGTAAACGAAGCGAAGAGGAGTCAAAAAGTGAAAGGAAGTGGGTTATGTGAGGATGGAAGAAAGAGTGAGTGTGAGGAGAGAGAGAGAGAGAGAGAGAGAGAGAGAGAGAGAGAGAGAGAGAGAGAGAGAGTGAGAGAGTGAGAGAGTGAGAGAGGAGAGAGTGAGAGAGTGAGAGAGTGAGAGAGTGAGAGAGTGAGAAGTGAGAGAGAGAGAGAGTGAGGAGTGTAGAGAGAGAGTGAGTGAGGAGAGAGTGAGTGAGTGAGGGAGAAAAGAGAGTGAAGAGGGAGAAAGAGAGTGAGTGAGGAGAAAGGAGTGAGGGAGGGAGAAGAGAGTAAGAGAGTGAGGAGGGAGAAAAGAGAGTAAAAGTGAGGGAGGGAGAAAGAGAGTAAGAGAGTGAGGGAGGGAGAAAGAGAGTGAGGGAGGGAGAAAGAGAGTAAGAGAGTGAGGGAGGAGAAAGAGAGTGAGGATGGAGGGAGAGTGAGAGATGAGAGGGGAGAAGAGAGTAAGAGAGTGAGGGAGGAGAAAGAGAGTGAGGATGGAGGAGAAGAGAGAGTAAGAGTGAGGGAGGGAGAAAGAGAAGTAAGAGAGTGAGGGAGGAGAAAGAGAGTAAGGAGAGGAGGAAGAAAGAGAGTAAGTAGTGAGGGAGGGAGAAAGAGAGTAGAGAGTGAGGGAGAGAGAAAGAGAGTAAGAGAGTGAGGGAGGGAGAAAGAGAGGGAGGAGAAAGAAGAGGAGAAGAGAGTAAGAGAGTGAGGAGGAGAAAGAGAGTAAGAGGAGTGAGGAGAAAAGAGAGTAAGAGATGAGGAGGGAGAAGAGAGTAGAGAGTGATTAAGAGAGTGAGGGAGAAAGAGAGTAGAGTGAGGGAGTGAGGAGAGAGAAAGAGAAAAGAGAGAGAGGAGGAAAAGAAGAGTAAGAGAGAGAAAGAGAGTAAGAGAGTGAGAGGGAGAAAGAGAGTGAGTGAGAGAGAGAAAGAGAGTAAGAGCGTGAGGAGGAGAAGGAGGAGGAGAGGTAGGGAGAAAGAGAGTAAGAGAGTGAGGGAGGGAGAAAGAGAGTAAGAGTGAGGGAGAGAGTAAGAGTGAGTGAGGGAGGGAGAAAGAGATGAGTGAGGAGAAAAGAAGAGTGAAGGAGAGTGGAGGGAGGAGAAAGAGAGTGAGGGAGGGAGAAAGAGAGTGAGGGAGCGAGAGAAAGAAAGTGAGGAGGAAGAGAGTAAGAGGAGAGGAGAAGAGAGACGGGAGGAGATAGAGAGAGAAGGGCGGGGAGGGTCATGTATATCGTAAAGCAGAAAGCAGAGAACTTCATATGCCTTTGATAAGAGCGATTTTTGGGTAGAGTTGCTGAGAATACGAAGCTTGTTTTAATCTGCATGATATCAGTCTATCCATATCCTTTGGTTGTCGTCTTGCTAACATGATTGCGTTTGTTGATAGTAACTCTAAATAGACTTCTAAGCACCATAGTTTTCCTCTCCTGAGTCTAAAATCGTGTACGGTAAAGTAAGTGTAACGAGGTAATTAGCGAGTACGTAAACAAACAGTATTTCAGTTATTCTTTTTTTTTTCCTTTTTTGCGGGAGGGGGTGTTACAGCTTTGGACTTTTGGTCATTGCTGGGTTCGCTTTTTGCATTATTTCAA